CCACCCCCCTCGATCCCTCTGAGATTCGTCAGTCTGAGCCACCCTTCCATGTCATTGAGTCATTTCTGTCCATCAGTTTATTAAGGTCTTTAGATTCCACGTATAAGTGAGATCATGTGATGTTTGTCTTTCTCTGCCTGGCTTATTTCACTTAGCATAATTTTCTCTAGGTCCATCCATACTGTCCCAAAGGGTATGAGGTCCTTCTTCTTTACAGCTGTGTAGTATTCCATGGCTTTTTATCCACAGCTTTTTATCCACTCATCTACTGATGGGCACTTGGGCTGTTTCCAGATCTTAGCTATTGTAAATTGTGCTGTAGTGAACATATCTTTGATTTTAATTACCTTTGGGTGTTGGAATCAGTACACAATCGTGTTTATACCCTTCCCAGTTGTGTATTTTGCTTATTAACTAGGTCAAAATCATGAAAAGAACAGTCAATTTGAAACAACAAATTAAACTGTGTCTAGGACACTTAGTAGCTATTGTGACTTTGAGGACATTATTTATCTTCTCAAAGTCTGTGGTTTCATCTGGAAAATGGTAACCACAGTACCTAGGCTGCTTATTCTACTTTGCTTCCATGGCTCAATTTTTCATAAGAAAAGTTACTTCAAAGTCAGTAGCAATATACAGTAGTACACGAACATATTACTATCAGCTCTTTCATTACTAAGAGAGTGATGAATAAATTTGGGAATAAATGAATGGACTAGCCAACATAATGTCTTCTGATGACATTTTCTGATAAAACACGTTGTTTCCAGGGTAACATTAGATGCTGCATCATAGAATCATGATGCCCTTTTCCTCCTGTCTCACTTGACTCCTCCTTGTTTTCTTTCCTCCCAGGCTGGATGGGTTATAGATCCAGATGCCAGCTCCCTCAAGAAGCAAAGCGATGGCATTCCCGCCTTTCACAACGGCTCACTGGTTGAAAGCCCAGGCAGTCCCTCCCCCGCCGATGTGCAAGGCATTCAATTTAGGGAAATGCTGTTTCAAATATCCATCAAGTGCATCATTGCCTAATCTATAAAAGGTTTTGTTTGTTTGCTTTCCTACAGAAAGTAGCCAGGAAATATGGGCCTTGTAGTGAAAAAGGTTTGAAATCAGTACTGGTTAAGAATGGAAACTTGGGAAATTTAACCTCTCTAGGCTTATGCTTGGTGCTTAANTTGCTTTCCTACAGAAAGTAGCCAGGAAATATGGGCCTTGTAGTGAAAAAACGTTTGAAATCAGTACTGGTTAAGAATGGAAACTTGGGAAATTTAATTAACCTCTCTAGGCTTATGCTTGGTGCTTAGTTTAGTTTCCTATTTTTCTTTGTGAAATGGAGATAATAATAACCACCTTTCAGGGTTTGGTGAGGCTTTCCTTAGATGATGGAGGGTGATCTGCCCAGCAGACAGTGAGAGCTCCACAGGTGCTGCTCCTTTCAGGGCCTCCCTGGGACAGGGCCCTGATGCTCCAGCCTGGGCACCTCCTCCCACCGCCCACCCAGAGCACTTCACTCATCCTCTACTGCGCTGAAAGCAATGCTGCTATATTGTCACTTTTATATTAAAATGATTGTCATATAGGATCATGATCATACTTCTGTAGTCACCTTTTTTTAAAAAATAGCCTTCCATTTTTCTTTTAAAGCCATTATTCTAACGTTACAAAATTCGGTGACTTAAATGCCAGCTCTGCATAAATATAAGTCTATACTTCTTGGAAGCAGATGTACATAAATGACCATTCCTTATGACAGACTCCAAATTCATGAATTTACTACTAGTTTGCTTGCCAATGAACATTACCTCCAAACTCCATCTTTAAATGCCATTGATACATTTACGGTTTCACATGGCTCCCTATTTTTTAGCAATGCCCAGATAGGCTTTAAAAGTCAGGGTTTTCCTTATTGTATTGTTGAAACTTGACATTTTTATTGAGAAACAAATGGCAGTTTTTAAATATCTATGTTAATTTTAATGATTTAGTATTAAAATTGGAAAAGTGGTATTCTTGAGGAACATCTTTCTCACGTATTCTAACCATATGCAGGAGCATGTCTTTGCATTGGGCATAAAGGTGGTAAAAACTGCTATTAATGTAGGTTGGGAAGAAGATGCTTAAGTCAGCACAAGGGGAAATTCCAAACACACCATAATTAGCTCACTCACACTACCCCTGACATGAGAATAAAAAGAGAAAGAAACGGGATGTTAAGTCATTACAACGCAATGTACAGATAATTCTACCTCCGGCTCTTGCTGTGTCTCTCTTTTGTCTCTACCTGTCCTTAAGTAATCTTAGAGCTGGGAATGTTTAACTCTTTTGGAGGGAAAAATTGTAATTTTTTTCTTTAGACCTCAGAATTTAAATATAAGTGACTCACTGGTAGTTAACTAGAGGAGTTATAGAATCTTACGAAGGACGACAGCCTGAGTAACTCCTTGCTACTAAAATGGTGGTCCTTCGACCGTCATTATTGTCATCACCTCCTGGGAGCATGTTACAAATACAGAATCTCTGGCCTTACTCCTATATACACATTAAAGTTTAAGAAGGACTTACGTCATAGATTGAGAAAGGGACTAGTTGGGAATAATCCGTTTTCTGATTTACTAGTTGTGAGATCTTGCACAAGTTACTTATCGCTCTGAGAACATTTTCTTATTCCTAACATGAGGTGATAATAATACTGCCCTTTCTTCGATTATTATTAAGATTAAACACAAAATTGAATATATTTTTTGCACAGTGTCTAGTATGCAGATAATTTTTCAATAAATGTTAGTTTCTTGTTTATATTTAGTTTGGAGAGAGCATAGCACAGTAGAAATGGCAGAGCAGAGCTCCGGGTTAAGCTCATTCATGCACATATCACTTATTTTAATTCTGTTTACACTCAGATCCCCCTCTCTGCATGGGTGATGATGGTGGTGAAAGAGCTATAGGGGCTCAGGTGAGCTAGTATATGTAAGATACTTAGCACCGTGCCTGATGCATTGTAAAAGCTCTACAAATATTTTGTTATCTTAAAACAATATATCTGTTACATTGATGTTCTATTGATTAAGTATTTAAAAGGATTTTATTCTTCCAAAAACACATCTCGCTTTCCACACTCAGTTTCCATTTATATCAAAAGAGGAAGCATATGTGGAGGAGGAGAGAGAGAGGTACCGAGAGAAAAGAGACTAATAGTGTTGTTTGTTCTATTTTGCTGCTTTATAGAGCACATTAAAAGTATGGAAATATCATT